TCAAAACCTCCACAACTGGTCTCCTCAGGTCCATCAAAACCTCCACAGCTGGTCTTCTCAGGTCCATCAAAACTCCACAACTGGTCTCCTCAGGTCTTGGACCTTTACAGACCGATGTTAAAAGAAGAGAGAAACATGGACCTGGAACAACTTGAAAGAGATCTGTTACTGTCATGAATTTCAAATCCCCTCCCCCCCCCCCAAAAAAAAAAAAAGTCCAAGTTGAAGTAGGTTTATTGTCATTCTCACCACATATAGTTTATTCACATTTTGCTCAACATCCCAACTTTTCAGGACTGGGGTTGCAGTCCCTTCACGTAATTCATGAGCAATTCCACGGTCGCCTGCAGCCGTGAACCGCAGGCGATAATGGAAAATAAAACAACCTTTAGTCGGACTGGGTGTCTCATAATTAATCATTTGAATCCTGCTGTTTTTAGTATTTTTTTAGTTTAGAATTTTTTTTAGCCCTCTCTCTTTTTTTAAAAGTCCATGTTTTATTCTCTCTAGATGTTTTATATTGTAGCACTTTGAGATAGCAAAATGTAAAGCACATTACAAATTGAATAAATTAATATTATTATTATTATTAAAGATCCATTGGGGGGCAGTATGCTGCAGCGGGTCGAGCCAGCCATTCAGAGAAATCAGGTCTTATTACCTTTCATTGCACACATCACTGGCATTGCCTGAGCCGACGCTGAGGGAAGAACATCAAGTTAACGTGCACGGTGTGAGAGTCTTCAACTCTGAAACACCTGCACACTTTATCAGCCCAAGCTCCTCTGAGCTAAATCAGCACGTTTCAGCGTTTTTTTAATCTCCTAAAGAAGCTGCTTCCCACAGCCCTGAGATGTTGGTGCATAAAGCGAGACACACCCACACACACACATCGACGCCCTCCTCACGCACACCGGGAGCGGTAATCCATCACAGAGAAACGCCCGCGTCAGTGTGAATACTGTCCGCACCGTGCACGCTCTGCTGTAAACTCCTGGGACGCAATTCAAATTCTGCACCGCAGATCTCATCTGGGCAGACTTAATCTCTCTCTCTCACTTTCTTCCACCCTCCCACCCCTGCCGTGCTCATCCTCCTTCTCCCTCTCCGCCGCGGCCGAAGGACGGCTGAGGAAACCGGAGGATGTGGACGTCTCTTCTGGAGCGAGGGAACCTCTCGTCTTCGTCTCACGCCGCGGCAGGACGGACCCCAGAGGTGAGAGCGGGATGGGCGTGTGCTCGGTGTCGTGTCTGATGTTCCAGGTGTTGACGGGAGCGAGAGAACCAGGAGAAAGTCAGGGTTTTAATGACACCCTGAAGGACTGAAGTTCTTCCTTCAGGATGTGTGTTTTTTTAAAGAGAGACCGTAAATGTTGTAGTAAGGTTACATCAAAGCCCTGGCTCTGAAAACAGATCTCCTCCAGCTTTTTTTATTAAAAAAAAAAAATAAATTCCCTCTCCGTGTGTTTTTAACTGGAGGGCTGCCCTTAGGCTGAGCAGATTTCGTGAGGCATCTTCCATCCCTGTTGCCAGGCACCTCTCAGCTTCCCGTCTCCATTGGCAACTGCCAGGTGGTTTGATGAATAGCACTGGACATTCAGAATGTCCTCCTGTTGCTCCAGATTGGGCCTCACGGTTCTGCCGACACCCCTCCCCTCCATACACACACACACACACACACACACCCCCGGGTGAAATTCTCCCCCCCCCCCCCCCCCCCCCCCCCCCCCCCCCCCCCCCCCCCCC